TACAAATTTTTTAGTTCTATAGAAGTCGTAAAACACTCATACATCATCTTCAGTAAGTACCAAAATGTTTGAGGAGCTTTGTTGCCGCCATAGGATTTTAAGCATCCCCCACTTCTTTCAGAGAGAAATCCTCCTCCAACGTTATATACTGGAGCTAGCTTCAAAAATTCTTTTGAACTCCAAGCCATCAAGGGTAGACCTACAGCAAGTCTCCTCATTGTAGAGCATTAATAAGTGTTGCCTGGCTGCCTCCCGTTAACTCCTCATTGCCCAAGATCATCTTATCCCCACACCAAATTTCACCAATGAAGTTGCAATCTCTTCTATAGGTGGCCAGGGCGTGAAAATATTTTGTATTACGATCGCCCTCCGCAATCCACCTTTCCCTGAATTTCTGTCTCTACAATATTTCCTCGTCTTTCAGAGTCGAGGCCATTTATAACTTTGGTTCAACCCTCCTCTCGCGCTCAACATCATTAAGCCCACCACTCTCCTCTTTTGAGTCAAGCTCATTGATCTTACCCATAATATAATCAAACTTAACCGCTTTCTTCTCGCTCCCCATCTTAGACCATCCTTTGATGTCATTTTTCAATACCCTCAACTTAAAAGCAATCCTAAAATTTAAACACCCACTAAAATCATAACTTTTCCATTTTTCTTCAACCATAGATCAAAAATTGTTATTCCCTAACCACTTCTTGTCAAATCTGAATGGGACAGGACCCCATTGGACATCAGCAATCACGCATATAGGGAAGTGATCAGAGGTGGGCCTAGGTAGGGTTTTTTGAAAGACCCCAAGAAGTTGCGTCATAAAACTAGCTGATACTAAAAATCTGTCAATCATCAATCTGCTCATTCAATTGGACCAGGTCCACTGACCTCCAAATAAAGAGAGATCAATAACCTCAAGTCTGTACACCTCATCTTTAAATTTATCCATCTCAAAAGTCGAGATATTGTTTCCACTACGTTCCCCCTTTCCTAAGACCATATTAAAGTCATCGCCGACAATCCAGTTGCCACCCCATTTCATTTTACACTTGCCTAGTTCTTTTCAAAGGATATGTTTTTCCTCTCTACTTCCTTTGTAATAAACACCCGTGAACGCTCAAGTGAATCCACCTCTACAATTCTTAAATAGACAAGAGACCGAGCATTCCCCTTTTATGACATCCTTGCATTTCACAAAATTTTTATTCCACAGGATGACAATGCCACTTGCCGAACCCTTTGCAGGAATGCCATGTCATCTCAAATTTTTGATGCCCCAATGCCCCTTGATCACTTTCTCGATGTAATTATCAATTTTGGTTTCCTGTAAACAGACGACTGAAGGATTCTATTTTCGAAAACAACCTCTAAGGAAAAGCCTCTTACATTGGTTGTTTATGCCCCTAACATTCCAAGAGACAATATTTCCAATCATTGACGTAACAACTCCAATTCCTCACTCATCCTATCCTCCTTCCTTTTACGATCATAGTTGATAGAGGATTCTAATCTTTTAAGCTCTCTAGAAATATAACTACCTTGTTTTTTCTTCTCTTTTAAATCGGATTGACCCTTCTTTTTTGCCAGCAATTTCCTTTTTTTCCAATTTAGATAAAAATAGCAGAGAAATAGATTCCACACCTTCAAGAGAAATTTCCATAGTTTTTCTGAATTTCTG